TACTATATTGCTCTCTCCATTTTACAGACAAGGAAACCAATGTCCTCGTGGTTTTTACCCAAGGTCGCCAGGTTGATAAGGAAGGGATGGAATCAGAACTTGAACCCAAGCAGTCTGATGCTCCAGAGGCTTTTAACCATTGTATTAAACTGTTTTTGTATCTGTTCTCAAAAAACAAACCAAACTCACTGCCATCAAGTCGATTCTGACTCATAGCAACCCCCACTGGGTTTGTGAGGCAGTAAATGTTTATGGATATAGATTGCCCCATCTTCCTTCTGCAGAGTAGCTGGTGAGTTTGGACTGCCAGTCTTCTGGTTAATGGTCAAATGCCTTATACACTGCACCACCAGAGCTCCTCATTTGTTCCAGTGCTTTATAAATAGGTAATTGCACTCATAGAGAACCTTAGGGAAGCTCCAGTATAGCCCATTTCAGGGATGTTAGTTTGATTCAGGTACGCCTAGAAGAGATGGAACTCCGGAATCAACCCTTTAGAGTTCAGGCAAACAGATAATGTGTTGGATCCTTGGGCAGCCTTAGAGTCAAGAGAACAAGGTAGTGGTGTGTATTCAAAGGTCTGTTTCTTTCCTCTCAGTAGTGGTTCAATGTTAGCTTATACAGTGTGTGATTGTTGTTGTTATGTGCCATTGAATCAGACCTTACTCATAGCGACGTCTCCTTGGGTTTCCGAGGTGGTACTGCTATGGAAGTAGATGGACCAACCTTCCTTCCGAGGAGTGGCTCGTGGGTTTGAACCTCCAGCCTTCCCTTTATTAAAAACAAAAATCCTCTTATTTCTTCTTTTACAAACTAATCAGGTTTTCATCACATATGTTCTCCTGAAAAACTGCCACAAAGACAAATTTTGTAAATATTTGAATTTGGAGGAGTGAGCGTTCATCATATTGTAGAGAAACAAAGTCATTTTACAAAGCCTCAAAAGCCGGCAGTTTCTCCTATAATATATGCAGTGTTTCTTTCTTTTTGGTCTGCAGATGAAGCACGTGAATGAAAGATTCAAAGATGAAGATAATAAAGAGGTGCTCCTGATGTGCATAGGCATCATGTCGGGAGTCGGGCGGCTGCTCTTTGGACGGATTGCAGATTACGTGCCTGGAGTGAAGAAGATTTATCTACAGGTAGTCTCTTAGGGCTGTTTCCACCTAGGAAATTGATCCTTTTGCTTAATGGCTCATTAAATGTACTTATTTGCTTACATTCCTTTGTAAAAGTGAAAAATACTTTGTAGAACATAATTTCTTTACAGGCAAAATCAATCAAGGGCTAGGTGTTTAGACATGAGAAAACAACAGTCTTCTTTGTTTTGGTTTTGTCATGGAACTCCCCCAAACCAAAATGTTTTTGGCCTATTGCTTTCCCTAAGAAGAATGTTTTATTTTTGGCATAGGTTTCATAGTCATGTGGGATCCTGTGCTGTTTGCAGTTGCTTGTCAGATTCAGGGGTGTGTGTATGTGCCTTTTGAGCTTCTTTATTGCAAATTGCCTCCTGAGTGTTGTGGGGTGTGCACTAAGCAAATGCTAATTTCAAGATCATTAGTAACACTCATTCAACAAGTATTTAAGTGACTCCCTCATGCAACACACTGTGCTAAGTGCTGCAGAGTTAAATGAAACATGGTCTTTATCCTTAGTTGGCAGCTCAAGGTCTCATATGGAGTCTGATAAAACAGTGTGGCAGCACTGTGTGATAATGAGTATGCTAGATGGGTGCCATGGAAACACAAGCGTCAAGCTTGAGAATCATTGGTGAGGGTCTGGGCAGGATGCAAGAGATAAGTAGTAGTTACATAGATAAAGAAGAAAGACAAGGGTGTTCCATGTAAAGAAAACCATATTGGCTCAAAGATGTGGAGGTATGACATAACATAGTAAGCTGTGTCAGGGAAACTCTGAATAGTCGATGGATTGGCTTGAGGGATAGGCAGGAGCCAGGCTTTGAAGGGCCTTTATGAGCATAAGTGGATTAACTCTACCCTGAAACCTACCAAGAACCATTAAAGGATTTTCAGCAAGTGAGTGATGTGATCTGAGTTGTATTTTATAAAGATCAATCTGGTAACTGTGAAGGGTGGAATGGTGTGGAAGAGGCAAGAGTGAGGTAGGTAGTCCCAAAAGGCCACATTTTTTATGATTCCATTTTTATGAAATGTCCAGAATAACAAATCCACACAAACAGAAAGTGGTTGCCAGGAGCTGAGGGAAGTGTAGGCAGTGGTGCTGGGTGTGGGACTTTCTTTTTGGGGTAATAAAAATATTTTAAAATTAGATCGTGGTGATGGTTGTACAACCTTGTGAATATACGAAAATACATTGAGGCATATATTTGAGTGAATTTTATGGCACGTGAATTATATATCAATAAAGCTGTTATAAAAAACAACAACAACAAAAAAAGAGTAGAGGCACAGGTACTTGTTGGTAAAGTAGTCTAGACAAGAAGAACCAAGACAGAGATGTTGGGATCAAATAAGGAGTAGAGATGAGAGTTCCAGGAGCCTCCTCCTAAACTGGGCCTAAGATTTGTGGCTAAGGAAGTAGAGTGGATGGTTTTTGCCATTATTCAAGGCAGTAATATGGTAAATTGGGGGAGGATGATGAGTTAGTTCATTTTACCATGTTAAGTTTGTGGTGCTGTAAAATCATGCATGGGGTATATGGGGTGAGTGGAAGACTAAGGGCCTCCAAAGGAGACAGAATCATAGGGAAGGAAAACAGGGAATAGTCTCTCCACGGATGGAAGTGAAGGGTCAGCACTATTGGTAGCTAGTGAGACATCAGGCAAGATAAAGATGGAAATATTTTTGTTGGATTTAGCAACAGAGGGACTGTTAGGTGACCTTACTGAGCCTTAAAGGAGAGGTGAAGTTCAGAAACCTGATGGGAAAAGGCATCTGTTACAGATAATGTAACTTCCATTAATTGACACGAAGTAATAGCCACCACCATCTACTGAGCACTTCCATGGGCCAGAAGATAAACTAAGAGCTCCATGTGCATTATGTCATTATTTCCATTTATAGATGCAATCACTGAGGAACAGCGAGGCTGCATTGCTGTGGGCGTCTGTGTCTGTGTCCAGATAGCCAGCCACACACAGGAAGGAGTCTGGTCACATGGCTAGAAAGTCGTATAGACAGCTGGTAGTCCTACTTTTTAAAATGAACTTACTGTATTGTAATCATTCCCCCTCATTATCCTTACCTCACATTTAGCAGAACATTTAGTCTTGCTCTCAAGTGTCAAGGGAGCCCACTAGTGGACATTTGTTGAATTACAGACTCAATTTCCTTTCATTCAAGAAATTCTAAGTGCCTATAGGGGGAGCTCTGGTAGCATAGTGGCTAAAGCACTTGACTGCTAACCAGAAAGCTGGCGGTCCAAACCCACCAGCCACTCCTGGGAAGGAAGGTTGGGCAATCCTACTTCCGTAGTGATACTGCCTCGGAAACCCAAGGAGGGGTCGCTATGAGTCGGGGCCGACTCGACGGCAAACAACAACAACAACATGGTTTTAGGAGCTCTGGTAGCATAGTGCCTGAGGCACTTGATTGCTAACCAGAAGCCTGGTGGTTCAAACCCACCAGCCACTCCTCGGAAGGAAGGTTAGGCAATCTACTTTTGTAGTGATACTGCCTCGGAAACCCAAGGAGGGGTCGCTATGAGTTGGGTCCGACTCCACGGCATGTAACAACAATAATTTGTTGCAGTGGCCACACAGAGCTCTGACCAAGTACCATGATTATGAGGTCTATGGGAGCTCTGGTGCCGTAGTGCCTAAGGCATTTGACTGCTAAGCAGAAGCCACTCCTCGAAAGGAAGGTTGGGCATCTTCTGTAGAGGTACTACCTTGGAAACCCAAGGAGGGGTAGCTGTGAGTCGGATCTGACTCGATGGCAGTGAGTTTGGTTTTGGTGTATGAGGTTTATTAGGAAGTAACAGGTTACAATTCAGGATCAGGAACAACTCAGGATACAGTTCTTCAGTCACGACAGCCTCTTCTCAGCAGTGCCTCTGTGGCCCCAGGCCTCTTAGCTCCTCAGCCCCTTGGTGTCTGCCCTTTTCGGGCCAGTGTTACAAAGCTCTTTTAGCTCTGCCAGTAAGCCTCGGCCTGAAGGTGCTCGGTTCTCTGTGGGTCTGCTGCCGGATCTGTTGTCACTCGTCGCTGTCTCAGCAAGTGTTACAGCTTGCTCTCTCTTGTCTCTTGAGTTGAGGAGGTTCAGTGCAGGGGTCTTGGGTCCAAGGACCTGCTTCACTCCTGGTTCTTCTTTCTTAATGGTAATGAGATCCCCCTTTCATTTTAAGCCTAGCAGATGGAAAAACTAACCAATCCCTACATTAGGGTTCCACATACTTTATTTGGTTGGTCCCACCCCCACAGTGTGACATGTACCTTACTTACATTATTAGCAAGATATCCAGTCCCCCTTGGTGGGCCACAAGCACCTTATATTTGCACAGTCCCATGCAGTCATCTGCAGGAGGCCATAAATACCATGGCTGCAAGGGCCATGTTGAGTGACTCACTGCACCATGCCTAACAATTCCATGGTGAGCTACTCCTTCCAGAAGAGATTGCGGAATTGCATTATCTAAAATAATAATGGTTAAAGAAAACCTTCACCAAAGTTCCCAGAGTATGTGCTTTATTGGGAGAGGCAAGACTGCCCTGGTATCTCTTTACCATATTTCTTACCCTCACAGACCTGTCTTTGTAGCAGAGGCTTGAACCAGTTCATTCTAGTTCTGTCACCTGAGAATAATTTGCATTTCTACCCCAGATATACTGAATCAGAATCTACACATTAACTAGATTCTTTCTGGTAACCTTTAAATTATTACAGATTTATTGTCTTTAATATAATATGTAACTGTTTCAGAAGTGTGAGAGTATTTAAAAAGTTTGTAAGTTGTAACTTCATAATGAAAGAAATGAAAACTTTGGGTTTAGATCACCTTTTGATTATGTCATTACTCATGTGACATGGACACATTGAAGCATGGACATCTTGTCTACATATGTAAAGCAGACAAACTCAAACAACAGATGTGTGTACACATGGAAAAAGTCTGAAAGGATGTAATCCAAATTGTTAAGTGGGTTTTCCTGAGGAAGTGAGTAGGCATAGGTTGAGAGAGAAGGGAGATTAAAGAAGACTTTCATATATTACTGTGTAAATTTTTTTTAAGGTTTGAAGTTTTTAAAGAATGTATTTATGAGTTACTTTTGGTGTTTTGTAATTAATGACTTCCATATCCTTCTTCCTGTATAAGCTTCCTCTCTGGTTCAGGTAGAGTGAACTGATGAGTATTACTCTTTTTTTCATTCCATGTAGGCATTTTACATTTTCCTAAAGATACCCTAGGGAGCTCTGATGGCATAGTGCCTAAGGCATCTGACTGCTAACCAGAAGGCTGGTGGTTCAAACCCACCAGCCACTCCTCAGGAGGAAGACTGGGCAATCTATAGTTCTGTAGAGATACTGCCTTGGAAACCCGAGGAGGGGTCACTAAGAGTTGGAATCGACTCGATGGCAGTGAGTTTTTTTTTTTTTTCCAGTAAAGATACCTTGGGGTGTGGGTATATTCTTTACCAAATGTGAGCTATTTCTAAAAGAATATCTAGATAATTAGCAATGCCCTGCCTTGTTTTTGCTTACATATGTCAATTGTTAGGCTCAAGTAAGGAATCAGAGGTCCTATAGTCTCATCTTGGCTGTGGCACTGGGCGTGAATGAGTCACATGCCAGTTCCTCCCTTAAGCAGAAATGGCAGGACTTATATTCCGTGGGGGAGCTCTGGTAGCTTAGTGCCTAAGGCACTTAACTGCTAACCAGAAGGCTAGCGGTTCGAACCCTTCAGCCACTCCTGGAAGGAAGATGGGGCAATCTACTTCCGTAGTGATACTGCCTTGGAAACCCAAGGAGGGGTTGCTATGAGTGAGGTCCAACTCGATGGCACATAACAACAATAACTACAACATATCCATGGAGAAAAGTTGAACAGACTCACTGTGAAGACACAGGAAAAAAAATCATTGTAATACTGAATTTATTCATCTTTCAAACTGGGCCTCAGTATCTGCAGATCAATATTTGATGTATCGATATTTATTTATTTGGGA